AAGTAAAAAGAACAGAAGATGAGCAATCTGGCCGAAAACCACGGGTTGGACGAGTACACTGTCCGGTCGGGAAGTGTTGGAAAGGCTCTAGCGATCCGACATGGATAGACGAAGCAGATGTAAATTGCGTGGATATGTCGCAGAAATGTGACCGTGGTCAAGCAATCCGGAGTCTATTCAAGGTGAGGCAATTAGAAGAAGTTGCATCAAAGTTCGAACACCGATCTGGAGGTTAGGTTTGGTTGAAGTATGCAAGGAGGTTGCATATGGCTGTAAGGCGGCGAAAGCACATGCCGGGAGGCTGTATGTGGCGGAGGATATCGGTGGACGGGTGTGCTAGGAGGTAGCATATGCTGGTGGAATGGGTTTGAAGGGTGTACTTGGAGGTAGTACATGCCAGAGGAATGGGCTGTTCGTATATGAGTATGGAACTGAATTACCAACTAGTTGATGGAGAGCGAGATTGATTTGGCATGGTGATTGAACGATAAAAGATGTGACGAAAGATGATAATGAAATCTGATGTACTATCGTTTTCGAATTCTACTAAGACCGGCGATCCAAGTAAAGCAGAATGATCTAACGATCTTGTTCAAACGAATGGCGATCTAGGTGACAGAGCGCGATCCGGCGACAAAAGTGCGGTAGAACACTCCGAGGGTACTGGCGAAGTGGGGAGACGCGTCGGGGAGGTCATGGGATGAACTTGAGTGCTTGGAACGAAGCTGATGAGTTACTGGACTGAAGCCTCTTGCTGCCCAAACAGACTTCAGTACAGGGGGCGGTTGTGGCTAAGTCATTAATTAAATTTTATGATATGGATCGGTGGCCATCTAATTGAGGCGCCACGTACTGGTGAAAAATGGCACCAAGTGATCTGGCGATCCGATGAGAGACGGAAGGTGATCCCACGGAGATCGACGGACCAATCCAACGGTCGGCCGAAGGATGGACGTGGAACGGTCTGAGACGATGCGCAGAAAGGGGTGATTTTCTTGGAACAATCTGGGACGAGTCGCAGACATCGATGATTTCCACGGTGCAATCTGGGACGAGGGACTAGATTGAACCAGAAGACCGATCTGAACTGAGAAATGTACTTCTGAGACCAAGCGATGCGACGTGACTCTGTGACAAAGTTGCAGCATCCAGGTGATCGAAGATACACATCACTGATCTCCAATGGGAGTACTGATTTAGGTTAATTATGGACCGATCTGGAAGTGGGGATGTTTGTGGGAGTCCGTGGGACCGTTTTGAGAACTGTGGATGGTCCCATTGTGCGGATAAACCCTTGAGGATGGTATCGGACCATGTACAACGAACGGAAGAACATATAGGGCCGGATCGCACTGTGTCGATCCTCAACGATCTCGAATTGGACATCAGATCGGTCATGTTCCCTGCTGGTTATGGATATATCGATGATGGAGCTATTGAATTGTGATATACATGCTTCTTGAAGGTCCATGAGTGATGTCGCAAAAGTTTAGACCGAAAGAGCCAGTGGAAGCCGGTTGAATTGACGTCACAAAATGGATTTAGACACATTCGGCATTTGGATACTATTTTGGACTTTTCGGTACCAAAATTGGGTATTTGGTACCATATTTGGAATTTGGTCCTTTTTGGTGTCTAGGTACGATATCGGGAGTATTGGCGCTATCTTTGGAGTACAGATCACGAAATTTCGACACGTGTTCAAGGGGGCGGTCAAGCTTGAAGGTGGTATCGGTTTGGAGAGTGACCTACAGTTTGGAATAGGCTTAAGGATAGGATGGATATTAATTTGGTTGGATAATAAAACAGTTACCGTTTTTACATTTAAAGCACGTCGCAGACTTCTCTTCCGGGCAGGATATTTGGCCTCCCGTCGATCAAGAGACGTCGCACGCGCCGTGTTTCGTGTACTCACCTTGGATTGTTTGGCCAAGGTGGGGTTAAGGTAACTCAACTCAACTCAAACTGATAGGGTAGCAGCAAACAACGGTAAAGGAAAAGGATTTTGGTTACAAGATCGCGAGGCGGCTCAAGTGGTCAGAAGATCTGGACAAGGAGTTCAAGACAAGACCGAGCAAGACCGAGGCGATCTACAGGGCAGATCGGCACGTTTCATTTTGGCGAAACAAGCAACCGATCCACCCACATTGCGCACTTCCGGCAAGATCGGCCGATCCCAAGACCAGATCGGACCGATCCCAACGCAAGATCGACGCAACACTACTATTTGCTGAGTGAAGATTTCCGCACAACAAAGACCCCGATCCCGAAGACAAATCGGGATCGGTGTGATTCAAGATCGAGATCGCGACATCTCCAAATAGAGATCACCGCGACTCAAGATCAAGATCGCAGAACCCCGTTCGTGGTGCGAAGATTTCCGCACCGGAAGCGAGCGCTCAACCCCAAACCCTCAGCGAGATCGACACCTCCCAAGGCCATTACGAAGAGCTCAACACAGCCCAACCGACGGGTACACAAGGTGAGCACAAGGCTATACAACAAGGCACGAATCGGAGTACCCCCTCCGTGAGTCGGCAACTCTGGGCAAGTGGAAGATCGACACTCACTAAAGTAACTTTGTGAGATCGACTTCACCACAGCTTCGTTTTTGATGAAACATCCCTCCAGTATCGAGACGATGTGTTGGAGCTTGGCTATGTCGCCTAATTGAAGTTGATTTCGTTTATTGGCGAGCCCAACATCAAAGTACTCGGAGCACAAAACGTCCTCAAGTCAATGCGCAAGCTGCACAAAGCTGGTAGTCTAATTAAACACATCCAATGATACAGACAACTTCAAGCCGCTGGGCGCATTGTAGATCCAGCACCTGCGCATACTACAAACATCATCGGATAGATTGTCAACCCGCAGTACCCGTAGATGATGGTCTTCACGCCATTGTATACATGCTGAGTGATTCCGCACTAAAGAAGGAGAAATACGTTAAGTACATATATACAAGATCGGCGAGACGCTTGAGCTCGTCCTTACTCTCACAATACAGCGTATATACATCGTCGTACAACAATCCATTCTACCCTTAATCGTCGAGGTCAGATTGCTCAAAATGTTCTTGGACATGACAATATCGTACCATAATGTACACCATTTACGCACGGGGAAAATGTCATCCGGGTAGCACATGGACAGCATGTAGTCCACCATGTAGCTGCTTACATGTCATTTAATACAACATAACGATCAATGCGCAGTCAATAACGCGCGTATAAATACACATGGACACGGGTGCACGTGCATATACATCGAATCCCATCATGTACAACTCGTCCACAGTCCACGTGTCGTGGTAAATTGACACGTTGGCACAACTCACGATGTAGTGAAGCAGATCAGCACGTATATTTAACTTTCGAACACGCACACAAGGAAAATCAATTTGCCTCAATTAATCATATTTTAAGCCCCCTGTCCACTTATCATTGCCAGCACAAAAATGCACACAAAATTGCACACTATGACACAATTCCGTACTGGCTTTGTCCCAGTCGGAGCATGTCGGAGGTCGGAGATTTCATGGTACGGTGTTCTAATATCATTTTTAATGAGACTCCGACCCTTATGTACCACAAATGATATGTAACCCTTTTACAACCACACCTGATGTGTCACCCCATTACAAAGTTGGTATGCTACGAAAAGTGAAGTGGATGGTGCGCGGTGTCAAACGCTACTGTGCTGTCGAGCTGTACCATACGAGGCCAAAGAGACGCCTTAACACGACCATCTCGGCGAGGTGATTATGCGCGTGTTTTATCTGTTTACGACGCGTCCGCACTCTAGCTTTGTGCGCGCCGGAGTTCTTGAACTCAGCAGCCGACTCTTCGCTGCTGGATGTAGTAGTACTTGCGTACTGTGAGGATAATTGTGAACTGAGAAATATATTGACGTATTAACCACTACCACTGACATGCATTGTTTCCTCTCTAATGATCTTGCGTCTTCCCATGGACCTGGCATCATCATCGGCTACTACAACAATATATGTGGTTAACATTTACCTGGCGTGATCATTAATCACGTAAAGAGTTATGCGACAGCAACGGTCGATCTGCAACAGCGTGCGCACGAGAGTGGCTGTCACGGAATCCGGAGACACAGGCACACGGACGACGTCAAGGAGCTGTAGCATAGCAGACGGTTCCCGACGGGATGACCACGAACCCCACTACAGAAGGAGCACGTCTGCTGTTGTGCCAATGCGAACGAGTCAGACACAACTTCGTCACTTGGGCGGTTGGTGCCGTGCATTTGTTGGACTCGACGACGACCGAGCACCGGCCACGTCAGATCCCATCTTGGGATATGACAGTAGACATCCTGCGGTTGTCGACGCTTGGACAGACGCGTCCGTCTCTGTCTCTGTCTCGACGTCGCTGTCGTCTGCGCCCCACACCAGACGTTGGACTATCCAGTCTTTCACACGCGTGCGAGTCACACAATCATTTTGATAGTGGTCGATGCTGCAGTCAGCTCATCCCTTGTCCACAAACTACGTGAACGGAGAGAGGTCAGTCCGATCGAGCCACAAGAATTCGTAGGCTCTGCTCCTTACTGTGTTGTCCTTCGTGGCCGTAGCGTTTGCATGATATCGGCAACTTCGTCTGCCAGTGTTTTGACCAGCACAGGTCCGTACGTACGTAGGGGCAGTACCCCGCGAGTAAGTCCCAGCAGGTCTCGGCACCTGGGAACGGGCACATAGTGCTCTTCAGGTTTGCCAGCAGTAACGTCTTGTCACCACCTCTACAAGGGCACAATGTCGTTGACGTCGCGTCCATCTATGCTTCGGCTGTCCATAGGACCTAGTGCTGCTGCTGCTACGTCGGTGCATAGGACGAGCCCGAGCCGCAAGGAGCGCTGCTCCTGGCACCTCAGTTTCCAATTCTTTGGTCAGACCAACAACCTCTTCCCCCCCCCCTCTTCCTCCTCCTCCTCTTCCTCCACCGCCACTTTCTCCACGTACGCGGCACTTGCAAGACATGCGTCTGACATACATTGCGGTGGTCGCTCTGGCTGCTATTTTCGCTTCCAGCGCCGCAGTTTCGACGGCTGGTGACCCGCAACCTGCTGTCGAGTCCGACGTGTCTTTCGTGAATCGCGTGACGGACGGCGCTCGCCACAGAGCAGACACAAAGCGGTTGTTAAGGGCTCGAGCGGAAGACGACTCGGCACCGATGGAAGCGGAAGACGAGGCGAGAAACGCTGGGTTCTTAAGCGGTTTCACAAACGTGTTGAAAAACCCAGCGCTGAAGAATTTGCCCAGCAAGGCCAAGACCGCTGCGGCAAACAAGATGTTCCGAATAAATAACATAGTGGCGAGAGTGGATGTTGCGGTGGACAACCATATTGCCAGTGCGTCACAGAAGCTGAAAAAATTGGGCAACCGGCCGAATGAGTCAGCACTAAAGAAGAAGCTCACCAATCAAATTAATTATTGGTCAAACTTTGACGCTGAAGCGTGGGTCAAAAGTAAATTCTCGTAGGGATCGCCTGCCGAGTGGAAAGGGTCGGAAGCTGCTCGATGGGCCCTCTCGTTCGTCCGAGCGAGTAACAATCTTCTGGACGCAGTCCACCACGTTCGTTGAACACGCCACAAAGAACATCTCTGCTGCTGCTGCTACGCCCGTCACATTGGCGTCGGCGTCGAGGCTGGAGCGGTGGAGGTGCTGCGTTCTACTATCTGTCCATGCCACGTGCATCTTGTGGGTACGTATCTCCGTGTCGAGTACAAAGGGTCAGGACTTGTCAGACTGCGGAGGTGTCACGTTGACTGACGCTTCACTTCTTGTAGGACGCTCTGATAAGACCAAACCTAATGAAAGCTCGTTTATACTACAATGCGTTCAGTGCCTCACTGCCTCTCACTTCCGCTCCCAATGTGTTCGCCACCTGTACGCGACTGAGTGAGTATGTGTCACTCGAGTGACTATTTTTCGGCGTCGTCGGTCGAACGAAGTGCCAACGCGCAACATGCGCCGACACGCATCGATCGTAGTGTTTTGGAAAGCACTTGTTCGCGGCAAACCCGTGTGGTGTGTAGCAATCGATTGAAAGACGACCCACTTGAAACCTTTTCAGACAGACGCCTGCAATCACATCAGCAATGATGCACTGTATCTAAGTGGGGTGACGACGCGCATATACCATGTGGTCACATGTTTTGCATCCTTGTCGTACAAGCTGCAGCTCTAGCAACATCTTCTTGAACACGACGTAAATGTCGTCGGCCTCGGTACCACACACCGACGCCACGATGCAGAGTCGTCACCCGTCTTCAAAGTCGACTTCGCCGCATCCACACAGCACAGCTCGCAACTCGCTCACACAACACGACGGCAATGTTTGCACCTGATCACTCACGTCTGCTGCTACTATAGCTCGCCCACCTCGCGTCGGGGTTGCGGGCTTCATCGAGGAGCCGGTGCCAGTCTTCGACTTGATCTCGTTGTCAGGTCTTGACACGCAATTGTACGTTCGTTCAATCAACAGAGACCACCTGGCGGCACCGGCCATCAAAAGTCGCGACGTGGATGAACTCAGTATCGTCGAACCGTGTCGTCTCTTTCGCATATGCATAATCGACTGCATCTTCATCGCCTGCTCTCTTCTCAGGCGTCGTCGCGAACTCCACAGTTTGTCACAAAATGGTACTTTTCCAGCACAGACGGCATGGACTGTCACGGACTAGGCTCTTGACAGCGATTGCACCAGCGGTTGTGGTCGTTCAGCACTTGACGTGTCCATTCGATTGTTATCCCGACCACCGACCAAAACCCACTTACGTGCCAAGCACGACATTTCGGACCGGTTGCAGAAGACTGTGGGAGATGTTCGCTCGATGCTGACATGACGTAGAGCACATTCATGACACTGCATCTAGAAGACGACGTTGTTCTTTTCATGACGAAGCAAAAGTGGTGGGTCATCACTAGGCAAGCTGGAACTGAACAGACTCGTGCATTCGCTTCATGTCGGTCTTACCGTACATCCAATCAATGTCATAACAGCTATCCAGACGTTAGACGAAGTGATCTGATCAGCAGCAACCCCAATGCTTACACTCGAACTACGCCATATTGAGCTGGCCATTGCAAGCTAAAGCACCCGCTACGTCGCATGGTCGGCTGCAGCAATACCACAGCCAGACTTGAACCCATTGTAGTAGATCGACCCCACTTCGCTGATGTCCAGGAACTGCTCTCACATCAGCGCCGTAGTTTACGAAGAACGTATAGAGCAGCAACCACTACCGAAACAGAAGTAGCGGCTTTGCGAATCGTCATAGAACCTTCGTGAGATGGCTGACTACCGATTTGCGGTGTTTCACTGTTTGCGCTACGTAGCAAGTATGGCCGTGCGAGCGACGACCTGCTCCGACTATGTGATCCACGTCGTCGTACACGGTTAAGTCACCACTTGCTCTGTGCGCTTCTCTACGACCATGAAATTGCAGCTGTAGTCTATGGAGTGCCGTCCAGTCCAGGGGTGCCGGACAAAATACGAGCTCATATGCGGCTTCTATTAAGCAAGACCAGCTTTATGGAAGCCTACTACACTCCCACTCATCTGGCGGATTGGGCGGCGGTCGAGCGATTTTTTTACGCCGGGCTTGCACGTCCAAAGGAGGACGAACAACGTCTGTACTAAGGGCACTTTACAAGATTTTTTCACGTCAAGATACTACAGGGCGGAGGTACAGAGTGCTGATACCTTTGGGCGTCACATTTGTTACATCGCTTCGAATCGGAGTCCGAACCTTGCGTCCGCCCACAAACGCGACGGGCGGATCGGAGAATACTTACTCAAAATGTGCGGGGTTTCTCGAAGGGGGCACGGAAGCAGTGGATGTCCGCCTGGCGCCAAACCCCGGCGAGTAGACGACCGTTGGCATGGTGCAACCAAGAAACACACGTGGCCACCGAGGAAGAAGCAGCAGGTCTACGTCTGGAATGGCGACGGATCTGGGTTGAACAGCTCGACCAGCAACAAGCGCCAATGTCCTTTTGGAGTGTTAGTTCATCGAAGGCTCGAGGGGTTGGTATTCTGCTATCTCCCGAAGCGGCGGCGGCTGCAGAGGTGTGGATACGGATAAATGGACTTCACGAGCAGTTGGAGAGCGAGTTTTCGACAGTTTCATACTTAACGTCTACGCACCGAACTTACGGGCGGAGCGGGAAGAATTTTTTCAGGGGCTGTACGGCTGGGACATGCCGTCTAGGAGCACTATCTTGCTGGGCGATTTTAACAGTGTTCAAAGTCCGCAGCTGGATCGGATGGGTCCGAGATCAGCTAGCCGTCCGGAGAGTCCAGCTCTTCGATCACTGTTGGAGGGAACAGCATTGAGTGATGCACGACTTCTACGGGACCATGCAGACGATGTTGGGACCGATATAAGCCATCATTTTACGTTCTGGACCATAGAGACGGCTAGCAGGATAGACCGATTCTATGTTCCTCACGACTGGGCTCCGGACGTTGTCTGGGTATCAACGGCTCCACCACCTAATTACTCAGATCACGAGGAAGTGGTGCTTCATCTCCGAGAAAAACACTCAGGACGACGGCAACAGCAGCGGCGACGCGTTATCTATCCTATTAGGTCGAACAGGCCGGACCGAGTCGTGACAGCCGTCATCAGGGAAATGACAAACTTGGGAATGGGTCATGACCCCACTACCCAGTCCTGGGATGCCCATATTGCAGGGAGCTGTCACAGCATTAAAATGGTGCAGAAACGGGAAAAGCAGCGGAGAAAACGCTACGTGGCTAATCTACGAAAGCGCAACCGACGGCCATTTCTAGTTCGACGGCAATGGATATCAGCCAACATCGAAGAGGTGCAAGAGGACCACGTAGATCGTCTGGGGGAGACTCTGGGACGGTCGACGGATCGTCTCCGGTGGTCTTACCAGAGAATTCGCAAATTGGGAAAGGGATCAACACGTCACTTCCCTGCATGCACGTCACGGACAGGCATTTCTGAGATCAATGTCGATCGCTGATAAGTTTGCTTTAGAATGGGCGCCAGTGCTTAGCGGGTGTCATCGCACCGTTCCGCTGCCTCTATAGGCGACGACCCTGAGGGCGTTTGCGTCGGTGCCGCCGGTGCAACGACTCACTTCGGACGATAACGAGCGGCTTTTACGTCCCTTTACGGATGCCGAGGTGCTTGCAGCTGTTTTAAGGCTCACTCGCCGTAAGTCGGCCGGCCCCGATGGGTTAAACAATGATTTCTATAAGGATACGGCGGCACTAATGGTCCCTGCTCTCGATATCATCAGCAATCAAATACTTGCGGGGTCCAAGCTACCGGCTTCTTTTCTGAAGTCCCGTATCAACCCTCTCATGAAAAAAGGTGACTCCGACGACGCCATGGATTACAGACCGATTGCCTTGCTACAAACAAGCTACAAAGTATTTGCAAAGGTGCTGGCCACCCGGCTACAACACTCATTACCCCGGGCTATTATCGATTCGCAGCAGGGTTTTGTCCACGGGCGTCAAACGTCGAAACCTGTCATGATGATGATGGCTCAACTTTCAACAGCAGCACGGCGGGATGACATGCCAGCCGACCAGAGCAGATGTATCTTGCTATTAGACTTTCGAAAAGCGTACGATACAGTGGATCGCGATTTCCTGTTCGAAACTTTACGCCTATTTGGATTTGACGAACGGTTTGTTGACCTCATGCGACGCATCCATTCAGGCACGTCAGCACGCTTTCTGGTGAACGGTTGCCAGTCCCGGGCACTCCCGTTTAGCTCAGGAATTAGGCAGGGTTTCCGCTCGCACCGCTCTTATTTCTGTTGGTGGTGGAAGTGCTAAGTCTCGCTTTACAGCAGGACACAACATTAAAGGGGTTGGATCAGCCGGGGCTGCCAGGCCACAAGCACCTTTTCTCTGCTTTCGTGGACGACTCCGCGCTTTTTTTCGAATGCTGGGCAAATACCGCACGCTTTTAGCAATGTCACAGCATTTGGCACACTGGCAGACTTGCAGTTCCAACCGTCTAAAAGCAAGATCATTTTTTTAACAAGTCAATTAGAATGAAGTGCTACGAGGGGATCGAAGTGGTCCCAACTGGAGGCACTACCCGGTACCTGGGATACGAAATTGGTACCGGAGAGTTAGAGAACAAGAACTGGGCCCTTCGGATTTAAAAGATTAAACGAGGTCTCTTAACGGCAACTCGTGTCGCGACCAGTGTGGAGAATAGGGTTCTTATTTTAAACGCCATTGGTATTCCTGCCGTGATATTCACAGCGAGCGTTTTCGACATCCCACAGTGGGCTGCACAGGAGCTGCACAATCTTTACAAGCAATTTTTGTGGGCACACGCTACTTCGACGGACGCAAGTCGCCATAAGGTTAACCCGGGGCTGTTGGTCCCGCCTCGGAATGCGGGCGGTATTGGGCTTGCCGATTTGTCGGTCGAAATAAAAACACAACGAACCAAGCATGCCATACTTTGGCTTACCCA